GGAAGATGAGAACTGGCGACTTTGTAGTACAACTTTAGTACGCGGAGCAATCTGTGGAGCTGGAAGCTGAGAACTGGCGACTTTGCAGTACAACTTTAGTACGCGGATGAGTCATCTCTCGCGGCTGAGTCATCTCTCGCAGCTGCTCTGGCGCCCCTGCAGCTGAGTCATGTCTCCCAACCACCCGGCTCTCTTGAGAGGTTGACACACACAAACAGAGACCCACGCACTGCCTCAACTTACTCGGAGACACACACAGACAGAGACTCATACACACACAGACATAGATACGCACACACAGAGACCCACACACTGCCTCAACTCACTCCTCAACTCACTCGACTTAACCAACCAGTCCATAGCAACCAGATGCTGGGTTGCCCATGGAGAAACCTGGCAGTTTTGGCGAGTGGTCCAGTGGTCCAGTGGATGGGAAGACTGGGTTAGGAACAACAGCCGCAACTTCACAGATGCCTACACCATCCAGATCTGCTTCGGGGGGACGCGCTAGACCCAACCAACTGTGTGTCTCATACCGTGACTTCTTCCTGATATATTCTGTGTGGACGTCGTTCTGCGGAAGCACAACGCTATCCTTGCTGTGTACAAAGACTAGTCGCGAGCCGAACAACGAGAGTGCGCTAAAACATCTACAGTGCCTGCTGTGTGTCACTTCACGCTACTTTGTCGCGTTTTTCTCTGAGACAGTCAATTTCTCTGAGACAGTCAATTACTCAATGACAAGCATAGTGGTTGGTTATACTAAAATATCTACTCAACAGCAGTGACGAATATACTTGGAAGAAGGTTCACGCAACCCACAAGCTTTTGCAATCGCACATGAACCAGAGCCTTCTTATTCCTCTTTGCCCAGCCATCATGCCAGGGAACCTTGGCACTGTTGACGACCACTTCTTCAGCGTCAACCAGGATGACCAGAGGCAAATGATTCACACGTTCTTGTTCAGTCTGCAGTGCGGCATGTGGTGATGCAATTGTTGAGATGG